TTGGGAGGCCATGATCGTAAGGGCCGATAGAGGGACTTTGGCCAGGACACCGGGGTTACACCCCATGCTCTTTAACGAGAAGTGCCATGGGGTTATTAATGACCACAGAGAGTCAGGAGCTCGGTTTAACGTCTCATCCGAAAGACGGCGCCCACTGACAGTATAGTGTCCCCTTCACTACACTGGGGCATTAGGACTCACACAGACCACGGGTTGAGCGCCCCCTGCTGGCCTCACTAACACCACTTCCAACAGCAACCTAGTGTTCCCTAGTGGTCTTCCATCCAGGTACTAACCAGGCTCAGCCCTGCTTAGCTTCAGTGAGTAACCGGTCTTGGGCTGCAGGGTGATATGGCTGTGGCTGTTAATAATGACATCTGACTAGCTAATCCAGTAAAAAATAAATAAATAAAAAAATTTTACAAATTAAAAAGTACTGCTAAAAATTTCACTAAGTGAATGATGCCATCTGACTAGCTAATCCAGCAAAAAAAAATAAAAAATAAAACATTTTTTTTACAAATTACTGCTAAAAATTTCACTAAGTGTAGTATTTAAATCTCATAGTTAAATGGAAACCGAGGTGTATAACTGCAAAAAGTTTGACTTTTTGGGAAAAAAGAACCAGCCCTTTTACCAGGCTGGCTACATGCCAACCTATAGTGCATGCGTTTGGACTGTGGGGGAAACCGAAGCACGCGGAGGAAACCCACGCCAACACGGGGAGAACATGCAAACTCTTTGCCCTGTTAAACATCAAGTGAGAAATATTTCAAGAAAATATTAAATTACAGGGCTAATAATTGTGACTTCAACTCTGTGTGTGTGTGTTACTGAATGTGAGCTCTTCTTCCTCAGGGTCTGTCAGACTCTTTAAATTGATGAGTCTCTCAGTGTGTGTCTCTAAGGAGCTGTTATTGCTCTGTAAGAGACACACACACTTTATTATGAGTTAATTACGCCACATTATCCATTGTTTGCAGTTTAAGTGGGACTCCTCCGGCCGGTCAGCGGCTCCTGCGGGGCTTTAATAATGATGCGGTGCGGAGCTCCAATAAAGCAGTGACATTAATCGCGTCCGCCGTCGTTTATCCGTCCCTCGCCCTAACGCTGATTTACTGTCAAATTAACGTCTGTCTGAGACTGGAGGAGAGAATCACCATCGTGGCAGCTCATCTCCAAGATACACTCACAGACACGGGATCCTCAATACCTGATTGAACTTATTTATTTTCTATAAATTGTTAAAATGTTGGTATTTGTGATGCAGCGAGTGCAGAGATTGATGTGTACACCACCATTTGATATAAAATCCACTTTAATGTTTGATAGGACTAAAAAGTGGTCATACACAAATATTTTCTCAATTCAAATGAGTAGCGGCCCGGACCCGGAAACAGTATTCCATACGTCACCGATATACGTAAGCCCACATGGAATCTGCATGTGCAGAAATTGAAGAAGATTTTGTTTTCTCAGTGTGAAGTATTTTCTAAGTGTAAAGCAGTTCATTTTCTCTTCTCAAAAAGTATGTAGTGTTTGCAGCAAACATGCCAGCCTGTGTAAAAACACTGTGATATGTCTGTGTAAGATGAGTACGCCTGCACAGGAGCAACACTAGGAGAAGGCAATGCTGAAGAAGACTGATTGTGTAGAATAACTGAATATGTAAAGCACTGATTATATATGTTAAATACTTGTATGAAGCTATATGTGTCAGAAGCTAGAGTGAGTAACATGTTATCAAGTGATTATGCTATCATGACAATATATGTAAACACTTAGTCCTTTTGCATAAGTTGCATCTATGGAGAGAGAACTTTGGTTTCAAAACAGCTGCTGACACACTAAAAAATATTCAAAGATGATTACTTGGATTTACTCAATTTTTTATGTTAAGTGGTTGTAAACAATTTAATTGTGTTAAATTTAAACAAACAAATTAAGTTGAACATTGTTCAATTTAATTTTATTGTTTAAATTCAACACAAATAAATTGTTTGCAACAGTTCTGCATGCAACACTTTTTTCAGTGCATGACATAGACCTGTAACATCTCGCTGACCATAGCGAGCTGGCAGAGAGCCAAGAATAGCAGGACCACTTAGGAGTAGAAACCTATTCAAAAATGGTCAAGAGTTAAAATGAGACACCTAGGGGTGTGTCAAATAACCTGTATAAAGATTGTGGAAAACACTGAGACTTTAGAAAGAGTAAGAGAAAGAGGAGGAGAATGCTATGAGGTCTGCTCTGCTCTTTCTCTGCTTTATTATGGAGAATAAAGTCTATTTTCTGATATTCAAAACCTCCTGTCTGATCATTTCTAATTGATGAGAAGTCGAATTACGACAAAATCCGCAGATTTCCACAGATGTTTAGCCCATCATTGAGTCT